TCTTAGGTATTTTATCATGCCAATTAATCAATCAATCAATCAATCAATTTTTATTCTCCTAAGATAAAAAGACATGTTAAGTTACATCAGCAGTTGAGAATCTAAAAATACATAAGACATACTTTATACAAATAATAGAAAGATCAAAGATTATCTCTAAATTTTATCCTATTTGCAAAAAAATTAGTAAATCTATCAGTCTTTATATCTGGCCGATGAACACCTTTTTTCTGAGTAGATAGTTTGTTTCTTTCTTCTTTTGAATGATGTTACTGAGCGGGCTATCGGGATCCACTGAACGTACCTTGAATAGCTTCTTATCTGCCTTTTCTAAAAGTTCTTGAATGTCCATTCTCTTAGATGTGTATTTCCTTTTAAAGCATCTATCCAGAAAGTCTTGTATGACCGTGAGATCTGAGTCTACAGTGTAATAAACAGGCAGACCATAAGTGAAATTTGGTAAAACTAAGGCGCTAAATAGGTGGTGCACTTCACCTTGACTGAAATCTTCCTTCCGTAAAGATCTTAAAACAACTTAATCAACTTAGCATGAATGTGTTTGCTATATTTACCATTCTCCTGAAACGTAACACCTAAAATGGGCAGCTCCGTGCATTGCGGAATGTTATTAACTTGTGTAATATCCTGAATAAAACCTTTCTTGCGAAAAATAATTTCCTTACATTTCGAGGGATTACAAACCATACTGTTTTCCTTAGACCAAATTAAAAACTGATCCACCAAATCCGTACAACAGTGGCCATTACTCCAAACGGGAACAATGAGAGTAGAGTCAAGTTAAGTTTTAGTAAGATATTTTACTTAGAGTTTTAAAGTACAGGTTTTTAAATTAATGTAAATACATTATACTTCTGATGAAATATTATTGTAAATATTTTTAGCACCCTTGAAGTACGCTTTTACTGTAGTAAATTACCGTAAAATTCCGAAAATAAGGCCCTCCAAATATGAGCCCCCCAATCCGGTAACACAACCCCCCCCGGGGGCTTGTACTTGAAAGATTCCCCTCAAAAACAATGCAAAAATGCTGAATTTACTTCCAACTATACGGCTAGCCCAATCGATTTTGAAACGCAAAGTTCCCTCTTTAGATAAGCCCCTCCGAATATAAGCCCCCCAAAAATAAGCCTCTCAAAAAGGGTCTTTGAAAAATATAAGCCCCGGGGCTTATTTTCGGAATTTTACAGTATAATCTTTTAGTTGCACTGATTAACAAACTACAGCCATTATCTTACAAATCCACGTCCAATAGAGCTCCACACATTCCACTTCGCACACCTCAACCAACCCCTAAAATATACGCTAGTGCACTACTCATGCATCCTTAAAAGACATAAAAAACTTCACACACGCCTACTCAGGTAAATTAAGGCATGGGTCACACTTTCAAAAATGAAATTTGTTTAAACTGCCGCTGTTCAAAGACATTTTTACCAAATGGCATGAAACTTGGCAGGTGGAAATTGCCGCCAAAAAATACATTATTTTGCAGGGAAAATGGGCACACTTTTTCTTTGAGCCTTAAAAAATTCAATGACATTTAAAAACTAGGTGACTTAAGCTATCGATCTGTGCTTGGCAACTTGACAAATCAAACTGATTTGTCTAGGCTTTTTTCTGATAAAATATAAGCATACGATAAAACAACAGTTTTTTGCCCATTCAAATGTCAACTGCTTTGAAGTTTTTACATTGCCAAGTGCAAAAATATAGACGACCTCATATTTCATAAGTATCGGCCCCTAAAAACTACACTTTGGTCTTTAACAGTGTTGCGGTAAGGCAAAATATCAGCAATTAAGGCCATTGACTGCCATTTTGCATTCGCCATCTTAGCTGAGCAATTACCTGAGTAGGGTGGCCTTAGTGGAAGCTATTTCATTGTCGTAGACATGAATTGTCCAATGAGAGGAAAGGGCTTACTAAAGGCTTGGTTCCTTTGCAAAATAAAAATGGCTGACAAAGAACAAACTTACTGCGATCGATGAATGTTTTTCCCTATGATGTTATGCTTTCGGCAGGGTAATTTTTCTAAACGGACCAAAGAATTCTTTAGGATAACTCATACTACCAATAAAGTCTTAACACAGGCTGCTATTTTCACGTTTCGTCTATGTTAAAAGGTAGGAATTAAATACTTTTTTGTAGAAGATATTGCCTTGTAATGGCTCCTTATTCTTGTCGTTTTGAACGCGCACAGCACTTTACTGCACTTTGCGCATTCATGGGCTGTAATTTATGACAGGCGCGTTTTTTTGGCAGTAAGTTCAAAATAAATTAAGTTCAGGGCCTATGCTTTTACGCTGTGAAGCAGCACTTTCTCAAAAGTAATTTGTATGCACTTTCCAAAGAGACTGCCATTATCTGAAACTCTTCTCAAAGTTTTTTATCGTCACGGGAGAACTTAAAGTATAAGTTCTTTTGGAAAACACCTGGTGAAGTATTTTTTACGAAGTGATTATTTTATTCTACGTGGCGCCCTAAATGGCCAACTTCTTAGGATGTGGATTTGCTCGAGTTGCTGTGAAGCTTAGCATCCTGAAGGCTAATGGAAAGGTGGAGTATGACCACGAACAGAGGTGGAAATGGTACTCAGAGATTTTCCAAGGGGTACACAAAAGCTGCTTCAAAGTAGACAAAAATTTATATACAAAGTGGTCCAAGGTTCTTGAACACCATTTTAAGAGGTGGAAGACTACCACCAAGAAAAAGTATAAAGAGCACTTTAGTCAAACAAACTGGGAAAAGCTAACCTAACACGAGAAAAAGCAACATTCTCTGGCAAATTGCAAGGCTTGTGATGTACATCACTTCTCCTATCAATCTTTATTTCCCTTATGCGATAACAAGACAAACACTATAACACATGAAGGTATTTACAAACAAATTAACAGTCGAAACCTTAAACAGTCATCTGCTGGTAATGTGCAGGTAAAAAAAAAGCTCTTATAAGTGCCACAAAAGAGGTGTATGACAAAATTAATACAACTTTTGCAAAGAAATTTGGAGTCTTTTGCCATTGCACAAACAAGCGTTCCTGAGCTTAATGTTCAAGTAAAAAAGTCTCGAGCTGAGTTAAAAAAAGAAAAAAGAAATAAATCCAGAGCCTGCAAAAAACACATTGAGCAGCAGTAAACTGAGAATGCCTGTGATATAATGCTCGCCACCAGGCAAGGCAGACCTATAATCAACGGAATGAGCAGCAGATGTTTCTTTGCTTTGAAACTCTAGAGGAGGCAGAGACCAGGGCAAAGAAACGTAAACTGCTGGAAGAACAAGGCCAGCGCAAGAGGAAAAGGCACTCTCCCAACCCAAAGGATCTTGAATTTGATGAAAATGAGCTCCTGCAAGAAGTGAATGCAACGAAGGATAGAGAAAAGGTAACCAAATAACCAAAAATATCATTTAATTCCAATAATTCTAACTAAATAAAACTTTGTTAGAAAACAATTATTATTTGGGCTATACACCCGCTGAGAAAAGCAATTGTAAAATATGGAAGGTAATATTCAACCAAAAATCAATATTGTAATCAGAAACAGGTCATACCTCCTAATACCTCCTTAGTCTGGCATTTCTTCTTATTATTTTTTAAAAAATCCTTTCATGTAAGTGTCATTGTGTAATAAACTGGAAATGTGCTGAAAGACAATATGAAGTGACTTTCAGATCAACTTTTCCGAGCTTGCTCGCAAATATGGCATTGCAGAAAAAACAAAAAATGGAAACATGGTTGTGAAAGAGTTTTTGGAGGATAAAGGGGTGCAGTTATCTCGATTCAAAGAGTTCAGAGTAAACAAGGCAGCAGCCAGACGAAGTTTGAAACGCTTGCAGGGTGGAGAGATTTCAGTTCCAACTCAACCAACAAAAAAATCAGATTAGGGAAACCTTAATGGTAAGTTCAGGGGAAGCTAATGCAAACCAAAGTGATCAAAACAATCTTCATCTATAACTGTCCATGAAAAGGATCCCAACCCTCTTTTTCTTAATGCACAGTACTGAACATGAGCTTTTTCCCTTTACTTCTAAGCACAACAAAATTAGTAGTGCTGATGATTATAATATTAATAAATATTATTAATTACAAATGTCAGTAATAATTTAAAATTTAATTTTTTCTTATAATCTCTGCGATAGTAAATATTCAAGGAAATAATAATTAATAATGATGGATACATGCTGACTGATTTGTTTTCTAATCACATGACTTTTACTCTGCAGAGCAAAGTTGAAAGTGGTGAATATGTCCTTGATGAAATGATTGTCCCTCAGACATTGAAGAAAGTATCATTAACGAAGGAGGGACACCTTAAGACAAACATTTACCGTGTCTGGATTCCTCTGTCGGAAATCAGAAAGAGAATGCTCAAAGAACATGAGTCACTGGGAATAGTGAGAATTTGGAAGGATGATTTCTATGACTCGATAACAGAAGATGAACTCAGTTCAAGACTTGTGCAACTTGGTGAGGAAAGTGGGGAGGGGACTCCATCTGAGATGAGAGACAGACTGAAAGGAATGGAAAGGAAAAGGCATCTTATGGTTTGGGGGGAAAATTCCACTCTTCTGAACCATGGTCATCTTTTACTTACTGTCAGCACAATATATGATGAGGCAATTTATTACACAAATGAAGGCCAAAGGCAAAGAGAACATTGATGTACAATCTCTAGTGGAGAGACCTAATGTTTACATTCTAGGAAGGTGAGGAGCCTTTAAGGTTGAACAGCTGGCATATATAAAAACTAGAAAAGCCTGCTTGCAAAGTCTAAGTGAACCACTTCTAACATCAAATGGTGCGCAGATTACTGACGATTTTTTCATGGAGATGGCCCACAACAAGAATTTGAAGCTGGAGCACAAAAAGGTGGAAATGCTGGCTGTGTACGTTGCAGTGGGGATGCTAGAAAGTACAAGGACCTTGCCGTTTTTCTAAGAAGACCACATCTAAGCCTGTCGGAGCGTTTAAAGAAAATATTGCAAGGACCCGCTGGGAAAAACAGAAGAAATGGTGGTCTGAAACCCTTCAAGGATCTGCATGTGGAAGAGCTGAAAAGAGAATGCACTGTGCGTGGTCTATCCTGTGACGGCTCAAAAAAAAGAACTGCAAGAAATTCTCAAGGACGAGATTGGTGGGATTCAGAGAGTACCTGCAATGATCTTCTTTGATCAGGAAAAAACAACGGTAGACCTTGGTTTAGGTTAGAATGGTTTTACTATATTTCCACCTTCACACTTCATCACTAGAAGGCTATCATTTACTGAATGTTACAAGGACATTTCCACCTAACATTATAAAAGGTGCACACTGAAACACTAGCCCATGACACCAAGCACTTAAATAATTATTACACATAATGACCCAGTATTCAGTCAATTGTGACCTTTACTTTTTTCCTATAATAGGAAACTAAGAGGTCTTACCTACAGAGCCTCCTCATGACATCAAAGAGCACATAGCAAATGTCCTGGCTGAGCTGCCATCACACCTTGAGAATGAAGGAAGAAATGCACTTCAAGACATCATAGAATGCTCTTTAGGTGGGAAGGAAAAGCTTAGAGGTTGTGACTTTCGCCTTGCAGCTGTCATAGTAGCACAATATCTCAAAGGTAATGAAAACAAAATAATGATAATAATAGCAAAATTTATACAATGGAATCTCAATATAACGAAAGGCTAAGGGACTGGCAAACCTTGTTTGCTATATGGAGGTTTGTTATACCGAGGTTCCACTGTAGTAATTAATCAGAAGTTAAATAAATACAGTATAATGCATATTTCTTGTTCTAGGAGAGGTTAGACCCAAGATCCAGACATTGCTAGATTCCCTCCCCGAGCTCAGTAAACTTTTGTACTTGCCAGCAAATTTACGTCCTCCAAAATTGGTTCTTCGCCTTCACAATCAAGCTTTCTTGCATGCAATGATCTTGAAGGAAGTGATTGGAAATCCCAATTCCCTAACTGCAAGAAATTTATATGGCAGGTATTGGCATTCCATAACCGTTCATGCTGCCAAGCAAAGCAGAATCATCTCATTGAAATCCACCAACACTGAAGAAGAGGAAAGGCATTTCAACACTCTTCAAGGTGTCACTAAGTTAACAAACAGGAGACCTGGTAACATTATCACTCCAAGCCTTGTTCGTCTTCAAGCAGAGCAAAAACTGGCAGAGAGCAAAAGTGCAACCAGTCCCGTGAAAATGCAGGAGTCACAAATCTCGAAATATCACAGCACTCTAACACCATTCCCAAACACCGTTATTCCAAATCGGTACATTATAAGGAACCTAAAGGAGTACCAAGCACACTTAGAGAGTATCAGTGACTTCATTGCCTGTGGGGAAGGTGAACGGTGACATCAGGTCCTGTCTGGTGTGGAGTTCTATGATGGACCAGATGAGGCTAATAACAGACCCTAAGAACCCACACTTCACCATTTCAGTTCAAGCACTCTCCAGTTAGAAGAGCAACACCTTAAAGAGAATTGGGAAAGATGCCTCAGTGATGATAATATAACAATCCCTCACAGAATTGTTAGAATATACAACCAATTGTACCAGAGTCATGCACACCAACTTTTTGGACACAGAAAATGATGATAATAGCTTGCAAATTCAGGAAGAAAGAGAGAATGAAACAGCTGAAGATCCTATGACAGATTTTCTGGAGGTGGAGGCTGATGAGAACACAATAGAAGTTACAGGACTAGAAGAGATGACCGCATCTGAGGTTGAGGATTCGTTGGTTGAGCGTAGCGATGATGAAAATGATGATGAAGAACTGCAACCTCTGAAGACATCAGTTTCTTTGTCACCAGCAGTTAGTGAAAGCACCTCCAGATACAATCAGGACCAAAATGTAAATGGCTCTGAAGAATCAGAAAGATGTTCACCTGAAACAAGCCAGCAAAGTGAAAAATCCCTTCGTATTTACTAAAACATGGAACGACCTAAAACCATCTACAACCACCTAAAACCACCTCAAAAAATTCAACAACCACCTAAAACCATCTACAACCACCTCAAAAACATCTACAACCACTCGCAAACAATCTAAAACCATCTAAAACAGGGTATAAATGTCTGAAATATAGTTTCACGCAAATGTATGCAGTCCCGCAGAATCCTTTAGTCTAGTGTGAACGTGTCTCACTTGTAGAGCCTGATTTTATACAGCTATTAACCCGTTTACAGTTGCAAGAATTAGAAAACATTATATAACGATATTTGACAATTCTTTTCAGCAAAATGAATCAAAACGTTCTTACCAGTAACATCCCTTGGCGGGGAGGGAAGACCCGAATACGTGATCCAAATTTTTCGTTCCGTTTTAGCTCATGAAGTTCCAGCTACTCTAGCCTGTGCCAGGCTCTCAGATAGTATAGTGGGGACGTATTTACAACGAGCAAAGCGAAAATAAGAAGCGCACATATCCCATCACTCCCAAGAAGAGGGCCGGGGTGAAAGTTGGGTTCCAAAACATAATAAAGGTATATGAAAATCCAGGTAAATTACTTTAAATACAATCATTCACTATTAAAATTTTTCAACCCATTTTTATTAATTTCGGCTCGTCTTAACTTGTTTTCTTCTGAATCCATTGCATTATAGATTTTTTAACAATGATTACACCTACTAGTCTCCGTTTCCTATGTCATGATGCAAGGGAGTTTAGCCTTGTGTGATGACACAGGAAATGGGTGTGAAAGACACTAGGGTTCATCTAAAGGAGTCACCTGGAATGTACAAACATGTTTGGCGGATGGGATGCTAAAAAATTAACTTGTTCTTAGGAATGTAATCCGCCACCTCAGAACAAAACAGCAGTGAAGCAGACTCAGAGAGAGAGAGAAACCCTACATTGTGCCATTGCGTAAACAAATGAAACGTGAACCAAAACGTCTCACTAGTACCCAGGCTAGAAAAAGCCAAATCAAGTCAGTCTGTCGACTACAAGTTTGTTATTTTATTTTATTATTTTTTGTGACTTGATAGTTCATTTTGTAAAGTTCTTTAAGTCTTTTAATATACTTAGCATGATCTGGCATTTCATTTCGTGGCTTAAGACAATGGTTGATGATACAAGGGACCAGGGAGAGTAAGATTTTAGGGGGAAGTGGATGTTTTGTTCGATTCTCGTATTTCATGTTCGTGACATGTTAGATTGTTTGCGAGTGGTTGTAGATGTTTTTGAGGTGGTTGTAGATGGTTATAGGTAGTTGTTGAATTTTTTGAGGTGGTTTTAGGTGGTTGTAGATGGTTTTAGTTGGTTTTAGGTGGTTTTAAGTCGTTCCATGTTTTAGTAACTACCAAAATCCCTTCCCCGTATATGAATTATATTATTGAAGTACAAAAAGTAAACATAACATTCTTTCTAATTTAAACGTTTTGCCTTCCACTGAAGGAGCAATTTTCTAATGATATACTCGCTCATGCATGCAATTCTAAAGCTTATCGAGGCCAAACACTAGCGTTTAATAAAAGGTTCAATAAAAAAAATACTTACCTTCATCATTTGCCACCAAGAAAAATATCCACCTCCTAAGCATCGCAAGTAGAAAAACTTTAACGCCATACATGTTGCCTTCTCCCGATTCCGACGAAAAACCTATAGTCTACTGGTAGAATAAATCGCCGAAGCCACCGCCATTTTCTTTAGAATAGGCAAACAACAGCGTTGTCACCAGTACCCTCTCTACATTCAAGTAAAAGATGGCTTCTTATGTGATTTCCTTTGTAACCTCGCCAAAACAAAAATTGGCCCAGGCATTAATTCTCTTGAGTAGTATATTCACGCCCAAATATGAAAAGCCTCTATGAGGTAAATGAAAAAAGTATATATGTATGTATGTAAATACTTGTACAGACACACTAAACCTGAGCTACTCAAGCATGCCTAACATGAAATCTGTCATCTCGTTGCACAACAAGTATTTTCCCTAAATTTCAACTCACCAAGCAACAACCTGACACCTGCAATTGCAGAAAAAACCAGATTGTTCACTTGACGGAAAATCGGAAAACCTGTTACCATCAATCACATGATAACTAACACCTTCAAGTCTGTGAGTGAAGTCCATGCACTGACAATCAATAATGTGGATACTTTCTTTTCCTCCAATATTTCGTCATTGTTCTCAATAATACCTTTGAAAGAAACAACACACTCACTTGCTAACAAAGCTTTCGCTAATGATTGGCTTAATGAAACACACTGACACACTGTCTTTATCTGAACAAACAAGGCCTGGTCGACCTTGTGAAAGCTGGAAAAAAAGAACAAACTTTTCCTGTCCAATGGCCAACTATATGAACAGACCAATGATGTTGCTATTGTCAACAGTGTTTACACGTGATTTGCTCGTTGGGTTACCACATGGATCCGTCCTAGGACCTATATAACAACTTCTATATACATCTTCAATCTCATGGGTTATCAACAGTTACCCAAAAAATTACCATTTTACGCAAATGATATACAACTCTACCTGACTTTCAAAACTAATGACATAAATGTGACTGTTGAACGTGTGGTTAGCTGTGTGGCTGATATAAGTAGTTGGATAGGAGAAAATGAGCCAAAACTTAACCATGATAAGACTGATGTCTCGCTAATTCACTCATGATTTCATCACGAGATTGCGGCAACTCAGCCTCTCTAATTGTTAATATATTTGAAAATAATCCTGATTGGGTATCAGTGAGTGGCAACATAATTTCTGATGTAAGCGACCATTTCTCGCAGTTTTGTATATTCAGATCAGCAAGAGATAGAATTAAACCCACTAAGAGAAAAATGAGCGACTTCACAAATTCTGATAGCGATTCTTTTATGCAGGATCTTCATCAAATTGATTGGCAGTTGATAATAGCAAATGGCAATAATGCCACTGATTATATAGTCTTCTCTTTTTATGGTAAATATAATAAAATAATAAACAAGCATGTGCCAATTAAACAGATTTCCTGATGCCAATTGAAGCGTTTTTCAAAACCATGGATAACACAAGGGATACGAGTTTCAATTAAGACTAAAAATAAACTTTTTGCATCGAACTAAATATAAATTTTATCGCAGTAAAATTAATCATCTTATTCGAATTAGTAAAAGAGGGTACTTCCATGACTATTTTTAACAAAAATTAATGAATATGAAAAAGACTTGGGAAGCGTTAAATAATCTATTGAATCATAAAACTAAAAAAATCCCAACAAGTAAATGCGATAAAAGACTTTAATACTGGGACTAAAATAAACTGCAATCCACAAAGAATTGCTAATATGCTAAAAGAGCATTTTGCATCTGTTGGAAAAAAATTAGTGTGTAAAATACCTGCTTCTGGTGATCATCATGATTTTCTACAAAAACGAAATCTCCAGCGAGTTCTTTCACGTTTAAGCCTGTAACTGCCAGGGAAGTTGAATTAGAAATATTGGCTTTACCCAACAATAAATCTCATGGTTTATACTCCTGCCCAACTAAGGCGTTGAAATATTCAAGTACTATTATCAATGACATTTTAACTGAAATCGTCAATTTCTCCATCACATCTGGCAGCTCCCCTTTCAAACTCAAAAAAGCTTAAGTCATACCTGTATTTAAAACTGAGGATGAGACAGATGCAAATAACTATAGACCGATTTCTCTCTTATTTATATTTCACAGAATCTTTGGAAAGGTTATGTATAAAAGACTGATGCATTTTATTAATGTTAAGAATATCTTGTTTTCAGGTCAGTATGGATTTAGAGAAGGGTTTTCTACTGAACATGCCACTGTAGATGTAATTAGTGCAATTTAGTGTAATATGGATAAATGTTTATTTACCTGACTTAAAGACTTGACTTAAAGATAGCCTTTGATACAGTAAACTTTCAAATTATAAGTTTAATCATTATGGTTTCTGTCTAATAATTAATAACGAGTTTAAATCCTTTTTGTGCAACAGATCACAAACCCTAGAAATTAACAACCGCATGGCCAGAAATCGAGAATATTTGAGCCCGCATTCTATCTGCGGTCTTACCACTAAAATCAAGATGGTGGGAAATACGAGCTGCCGTTGATCAAGAAATTTTATTGATTCTTCAGAGCTAAATGCCCTTTCTTCTGTCGTTCTTTACAACACATCCAAAAGAAAGAAGACAGGGAAGAAATACATAGCCCTCGTGATAGGCGTTCTTGTTTTCCTTCATGCAAACATCGCAAACAAACGTATCTGATGTGTACAGTAAAAATTATGTCTTCTGATGATACACATTGTGAACATGTTGCGAGCACTTATCATCGCTGACACTTACAGAGTTCTTAAACTTCTCAATTTGAATGAAATTTAAGTTATCCGACATTTTTAACA